GACTTACGACCGGTTTAGTCCTCGACTTACGACCGGTTGGGGTCGCGGCATTAAAAAGGTTGAGAACCACTGATCCAAATTAACAAAGTGCAGCACTCAAGTTCCTAAACCAAATGATGCCCTGGAGCAAGGGTGGGCATACGCATGTTGGCGTATACATGACTCTTGGTAGTGCCTCCTTAACGAAGCAGTGTCTTTTCCTGGTCTCACCCTAGCCAAGCAAACTTAAGAATTATGCATTTGAGTTAAAGAGGCATCAACTGTGCACTTAAGCCCAGTCCAAAGCACATGGCAGGCATCTTCTTGATGCAAAATGGTGCTCTCTAGAATTGTGTGACTGTTTTAAGATGTAGAAAAGGGTCAACTGCATACTCACATTCACTCTGAAGAAGCTTTTTGGCTTCGGTTCCTAAATTGCTGGGATGCTCCGTTCTTGGTCTTCAAAAAAGAGCTCTTGCCTTTCTGAGCATCTCTGCAGCTGGATGTGAGAATCTCAAAGGAGCTAATGTAAAAGAGAACAGCCCTTAATCTCTACAGGAGCTGATCAGCTCACCAGATTTCTTTATTCAGATTCATTAAGCCATTACATTCCTGAAAGGAAATCATTTATCAGTAGACAAAAATTATATGAAATGCATGGACTGTCTTAGGAGAGCCTGAAATTAAGAGGAAGGCTGGATTACTCAAATGCTTTGATCCATGTAATGAGTTTAAATGAAGCCAAATGTTGCCAATTCTTCAGCCACCTCGGCTTGTTTTGCAATACCAGGAGACAACTGACTCTGTGAATGTTTCACAGACAACAGACGTCAAATCCTGAATTTAAGAAGAGTGTTCTTCAGGAGGTGGAACACAGGCTTGTTTCACTTGGGCCTCCTGGTCATAGTAGTATCCTCCTGACCTTCACTAAAGTAAGGTCAGAAGGATACTACAGCATATGGAATAGCTAAGGGCAAACACTAGACAAAACCACACTGTCACCAGCTGTGTCCTGGAGCTGCATCTGTAAAACCTATTCTGTGCTGCTGCTACCGCCACAAAGACACAATGCCACGTTCACCGTGGCACACCAATCTGCTGGTTAATACAATCCTATGAAAAAAAAGAGGAAGCCATCATTTAAGCAAGACATATTCTTTCAAAGATTCTGGCAGAGGCAGTTCCTTCACTGCATCTGGTAGGAACTGCATACCCAAGCTGTGGCGCACAGCATAGCGTGAAAGCGTCTTTAATGTGCCTGGGACGGAGCATAACGTGGTAAGCTTTTCACAAAGCTGCTGATCTCGCAGAACCTCACGCGGCATAGCACCATTTTTCCTCAATTCAAAGTGTCCAACGGCTCTGTGCAGAAGATCAAAGCAGGAATCTTCTCTCTCAGTGCCAAGTCCTCTGACCAGCAAGGCAACCAACCTTGAAATTGGGGTCTGCCCCTTCATATTGACTATCCTGACCTCAGCTCCATACTCTAGGAGGATGCTGACGCTCTCCAGGTTGCCCTTCATTGCTGCCCAGCTCAGAGGAGTGTCGTTGTTATAATCCAGAGCATTGACAAAGGCACCGCTTTCCAAAAGTGTTCGGACACATTCAGCATTGTTTTTAAAAGCAGCCCAGTGCAGTGGGGTGTCCTTATTGCCATCCAGTGCATTGGGATTTGCTCCGTATTCCAAAAGGATCTCCACACAGGTCTCATCCTTCTCAGCTGCATAATGAAGAGCTGTTCGATTGTAGCCATCAAGAGCATTGACCTGAAAAAACAGAAGGAGGAGGCGGAAGGTATTTTCAGTATGATTAAGAGAATTAGCCCTAGAAAATATGACCAATAAACTCACAGAATGGGATAGAGCAGTGGTTCTCAACCTTTTTAATGCCTCGACCCCAACCGGTCGTAAGTCGAGGACTAAACTGGTCGTAAGTCAAGGACTAAACCGGTCATAAGTCAAGGACTACCCAACCGGTCGTAAGTCGAGGACTTTCCCTGCTTGAGAGCGCCACGCATGCGTGGTTCCGCCCCCTGCGCCGGCCGAGGCGTAGCTGGCAAGTGGCAGAGACGGAGCAGGCCGACCACCAGCTGGCCCAGCCCAAGGGAGGTAAGGCACCCGCCGGAAAAGGGGAAAAAATGGC